GGCTGCATGGTAGTGGGGGGCAAGTGATTCCTGTAGACACCATTTGTAAAGTGCTTTGGGATCCTCCGGGAGAAAAAGCACAATGTGTGTGTGAAATTATTAGTTTGTTAATCACAGACCTGAAACAAACCTTTCTACAGAACTAGAACCCAGATGTGGAGCTCACCCTGGACTGTCATTAAATTAAGCGACAAATAGCACAGGCAATATGCAAATTGGGTTACAGGATGGGAGACGCACACTTGACTTTCTTTCTTCACCTCTCCTCTTTCTTCATTAAAATTCTCGAGGTTGGTTCTTTGTTTTCAGAAGGGTCATTTTAGCTGATTTCCATGGGGACCCCTAGTTTATTTGATTTCCAAGGGAACCTCAAAGGCAGCATCAGCTTTTCCACAGGCTGGGGGGAGGGGGAGGCAAATGGAAAGTCAATAGGAATGGGTGGAAACTAGGAAACCACAGTAGTGGGTGATGATGGGGACAAGTTTATGTAAACAAATTAAAACAAACAAGAGCTTTGACTGGGATCTTACGCCCCAGCTTTGGGGCACACGCTGATCTCTAACTATTGGGTAGAAAGAAACTTTCCAGGGGGGTATATTACCCCATAATCGCCCTCTCTAGGTTTGTTTCTCTGAAGGACCTGGTGCTGGCTGCTCTTGGAGACAGGATACTGGGCTAGATGGACCTCAGGTCTGACCCAGTCTGGCAGTTCCTGAGAGCGATGGAGCGTGCGGCAGGACAAGGGCGGCTAAGCACGGCCTGGGAGAGTAACTGCCAGGAGTCTGGTGGCACCTCCAGAACGCTGAGTGGGCAACAGGCACCGGCAGGTCTCAGCAGAACTTTGCAAAGCTGAATTCTCCCGGTCCGTGGCCTCTTTGCTCTGGTTGTAGGGCTGTGGGGCAGTGGCGCCGCACTGCAGAAGTGGGTTCCCTCCTAGAATGCAGTAGTGGAGCAGCCCTGTGAGTCCATCCAGCCCATCTCCTTGCTGGGGCTGGGCTCAGCCCCGCTGCCCCCTCACCCATGCCTTTTAAACATCACCCCGGGGTTTCCACCACTTTTCCCTGCAGACTCTGGGCCAAATTTGGTCCTGGGATAAGCAGTGATGACTCCACCTGAGTTTCACCTGCTTACAGTAGGCCTACACTTGGCCCATTCCTCTACACTGCTGCTCTCACTCGCTCGGGTGCAGAGAGCAGCAGCCAGCCCCGCCCAGCCCAGCAGTGCCAAAGCCGAAGCCCTGACTGGAGAACGGTCCCTCCCGCAGAGCTAGGCTTTGGCCGCGGCCAGGCGAAATGGCCCCTTTTCTTCTTTAAGGAGAGTGGGAGAAACCACCAGCCCAGCTTATCAAATTTGGCCATGTCTGAAAAGCTCTCATTTCCTTTTCACCAAAAAAGATCAAAACCGGGTAATTGGCTCCCAGTGCAGATGCCTCTGAGCCTCTCTCATGTGTAAACAGCATTTCCAAGTGTTGATACAATCCAGACTGCTGCCGCTGCAAAAGCATCCCAAGTATTCCCAAGGCGCAGATGACCGCAGAATGGCTGCAGGCTCTGGGACTGCTGTAGGAACTTGCCCTGGGCAATGGGGTGA